AAAAAAAATATTTGTGCACTTACAAATAATAGAAATGAAGGTGCCAATGAGGCCGCTGACAAAGGACTTGTCCATTGGCTCCACCGCTCGGTAGTTGATCAGAAAGTTGCCCGTGGTGGACATCTGCGAGACGGTATTGCCCACGACCATGATCAGAATGAACTTGATCAGCGGCGGCAGACACTGACTAACATCCTCCGGGCAGTAGCCCTGCACAATGGTGGGCGTAGGCGTGACATTAGCTAGTAGTCTAGTACTACCACTACCTTCAACACAGCTGCAATCACTGTAAGCGGAGTTTTCGGCATTGAAGGCTGAACAGCCGGCATGACAGGGTGAAAAGTACGTCTTTTGGGAGTCTAAATCACAAAGGGGACTAAAGACGGCAGTTGAGCAGTGGCAGCCTGCGTTGCAACTGCTGTTGAGGGACAAGCTAAAAAATTTAACCAAAAAAAAATTGGTCAAAAACAGTCATATTTTAAAAAAAAAGTTTCCCATCACTTACAGTCCATCACTTCCCTGCTCCTCAATCTCCCCTTGAAGCTTAACCGGTGGGCAGGCGAGGAAAAGGCCGCTGCCGATGGTGAGCACGGAGGTCAGCTCGGCGAGAAAGAGAAAGACGAAGAGGGCTCTAGCTTTGGGCTTGAAGTAGGCAATGGCCAGTCCGCCGGCGAGGATGCCCACCGCCATCGGCACCAGGCTGGCCGAGCCGAGGTACCGGGTGGTGTCGGCGACTGAGATGCGAAACGCCGTCTCCAGGTACTTGACGTAGAACATGTAGAAGCCGATGATGCCGGAGTAGCGGGTGGCGTTGCCCAGTAGAAAGAGCACGATTAGGGGATTGCGAGTGAAGCGTCGCAGCGCCTCCCTGAAGCCGCCACTGTCGGCCATTTTCCGGCTTAAATTTGCACTGGGCACAGAGGCGCCGCTGAACTGTGCTGGAAAGAGGAACACCGGCAGCGAAACGAGCAGCACCAGGGCGCCGTTGGCGAGGTAGCAGAGCCAGTAGGCGCCGATGAAGCGAGGGTCATTGCCGGCGGCCAGGCCAGTGTCAGCTAAAAAAAGTGTGTGTGTGTGTGTGTGTGTGTTTAAAGTTAAATCAAAAAAATTTTTAAAAAAATTATTATCATCTTTTTTATACTTACTCCACGGGTCTTCGTTCAGTTTGAGGAGAAAAGAGCAGAGTATTAGGTTGCAGGCAGGGCCAACCACCAGCACCGTCTGCATAATGGAGATGTAAACCTGAATGTAGTAGTAGTAGTAGTAGTGGATGAGCAGAGCAAACAAGGGATTGTTTGAATAACAGAATTAGAATAGTAAAGATTTTAAAATATTGAAAAAAACAAATCACACGCACCGGACTTGACTTTTTCGGCACATTGTCGTCGACAAAAGGCAGAGCAATGACGTAGTACACGGCGTTGCCTACGCCGCGGACAAACTGGCCAAGGAAGAAGATGTACACCGCCGGCCAAATGGTCGATCCAGTGGTGCACTGCTCCAAAGTTTGGGAGATTGATCCAGAAGAATCGACACTCTCCTTTAGGTGACATGTCAATGAAGAAGAGGGGGATGAAGAAGAGGAGGAATTGAAGAAAAAAACACTAGAGTTTAGAAAACTATTTTTAGTATTTGTTTGAGTATTTTCATAGAAATGCTTTGCCGGTCCGTAGATAAAGTAGGGCGTGGCTGAGATGAAGCACGAGGCGGCGATGATCATCTGCCCGATGCCGATCAGCTTGGAGCGATTGAAGCGAATGCCGTAGTAGCCAATCAGCGGACTGAGGAACATGACGCTAAAGTTGTCGGCAATGTTAATGACGGCTAATTACAAAGCAAAAAACAATCAACAAAAAAAGATAAATTAAACAATCAACAGGTGGTTATAATTTTAAAGTTAAAAAATGGTAAAGGTACCGGAAATCTTTGAGTCAAAGGCAAACCGCTTCTCCAGTGAGTTCATAATAGAGAACTGCAGAGCCCCCGCCATTGACTGGACAATGCCAATCAGACAGAGGTTTAGAAGGAAAAGCTTGGCGTTAGCCATTGGCTGGAGCCACTGAGGTCGCCATGACCCTAAGCCACAGGTGGTCGTCATGGTTGTCGTTGTTTGCTCCACAGCTTCATCCTCTATTGAAATTTCTCTTTTTCTAATGGACTTCATTTCTTAAACGTGTTTATTAATAACAAACAAGCAAGTGAAATTCAGTACTGTTCAATCAATCTATATAAAGCTTTTTTCAAACGGAAGTGCCTCACATTAAGTGTGTGCTAGACAAATTACGCAAATGAGATAAAAAAAGTCTACTTTGTTTATTATTAACACTAAACTTTTGTCGTCTGCCCATTTGACGTCAATCTGTCTTACCGGTAGTATCCTTTTTCATTTTTGATTGCATTGCCTAACAAACAATTTCTTTCATCAACCTCCGAATAAAAAAAATTAATCAATGATAACAGGAAAAATTACAGCTGCTTCACACACACCAGTTCTTTTTTTGCACAGCAACCTTTTTGACTTAAAATAAGTGTAATAAACATGAAAAAAGCAGAGATAAGACGGCGATGCTGATACTACCTCCACTTGCACTAGTTAACACTAATGTATGAATAACATGATGACATTAACTTATAGAAACTTACTAAATGACATAATAAATCACTGATGCTCTTTTATTAGTACCGTCAATGAGATAATCACAACGAAAAAAACAGTTGCCAAAAAAGGGTCGTTCAATTGGGGCCTCTCTCTCTTTCTCTATCTCGTTTGAAGCGTTCATCATCAGCACTTTTTTGTTGTTTGAAAGATAGTAGTCGTTTTCAAAAAAAGACAATAAATTAAAATCTACACTCACACAACAGGCTACTGCTGCCACTGCCCCAATCACTGGTCACACCACTTATTTTGTTTTTCAGAGGGCAAATTTTGTACATTGAAGGAAGAAAGATGCTGCCTCTGTTTGTGAGCAGAAACACACACTGCTGTTCCGCACGTTTCGAGTACAGCCGTACACTAGTAATAAAGCTAACTTGTTTTTCTGTCTGTCTTGCGCGGGCATGCTGCCGAGCTGGGTCAAAATGCAAAAAACATCTTAAATTTGAACTTTAGTCATCCAAAACAACTGCATGCGACTTCCGTGGATTAGCAGCCGCAGCAGCATCAACAACAATTTAATCACCACATGAGAAGAAAAAAACACATCTGGTTCATCAACATCCTCAGCACTGTCACCATTTTCCCAAATTTTTTTTCTTTCTCTTTCTTTCTCACTCGTTTTTTCCCAAGCTCCGCGTGTTGTTGTCGCTCAACAGCAGCAGCAACAACAACAACAACAAAACCACAAAACCACAAAAAGCCAAACTTGCACCGAAAAGAGGCAGATAAACGAGAATGAAAGATTGGAAAGGGCTGATTTGGCAGCTCTCTCTCGTTCCACATGATCACTCACTCACTGAACTAGATA